ACCGCACGGAGCCAGTCACGCCGGCCCCGGGGACGGGTATGAGCAGCCGGGCAGATGCTGTCCGGTTCCTGGAGTGACAGGAACCGCGGCCTCGACGACATACAGCAGCGGCACATGAGCCCGCCCACCCCACACGCCCCACGAGAAGCCGCCCAGCTGCCTGGACCGGACGACCCTCTCGATTCTGCCTGCGCCACCTGGGCTCCTCTCCTGTGTGACATGTGACCCGCACTGTGGGAAGGAATCCCTGTAAATGAGAATACTGCCGGAGCGTTAAAAGCACGCCCGTACAGTCATGTCTTCTGCAACACGTGACTCATTTCAGCCCCAAGTTTTAGAACTTTACAATAAATAAAATGTAATTTATAAAAATGAGCCGTTGTTTATGAATGTAAACATTCACCCTAAGAATTTTTTATTGTCCAGGAGATGTTTCGCAGAGAAGAAATTAACAGTATCTGTGAAACAGAAACGCACTTCAAGAGTTGAACTAAAGATTCATAAACCGAGGCCAGTTTACCGGGCTGCGGCCGGGAAAAGCATGGAGACATTTAATAACTCTTTTTAAGTTGGCTTGCATGCAAGAAATTCATGGATAGTTTTTCTGACGTTTCCTAACCACCCCCCTCCCCTGCCAACTTCCTGTATTGACTGCACCCAGAGGAAGGAGGGAGGGAGGGAGGGAGGGAGGGACCCTGGGGACTGAGCATCCAGCTGTGCTGCCTTTGGCTTTACCCCTGCTGAGTGCCCCCAATGTCCAATTAAAATGACAAAACATCAGCAGATTCTTTGCTTTGTGATGTAAACATAACACTACCTACTTGCAGAAATGACAAGAAATGGTTCAACAAAGAATCAAACTGGTTTCTTGGGCTAGATCAGTGATGGCGAACCTTTTGAGCTCGGCATGTCAGCATTTTGAAAAACCCTAACTTAACTCTGGTGCCGTGTCACATATAGAAATTTTTGGATATTTGCAACCATAGTAAAACAAAGACTTATATTTTTGATATTTATTTTATATATTTAAATGCCATTTAACAAAGAAAAATCAACCAAAAAAAAATGAGTTCGCGTGTCACTTCTGACACGCATGTCATAGGTTTGCCATCACTGGGCTAGATAATGACAATGAACTTCTTTCCCTTCAATGCTGGGAGCAGACAGTGATTATTTTGGAGAAGAAAAGATAAAGTGTGGAATTAGTAATGCAGAGGCCCAAAGGCAAGTGGCAAGACTAGAAGACTGCCTCACACCAAAGCTACTCTGTTCCCATCTCTACTGGCACCTACCCCCCCACACCCCGCAAAGTGAAAGAATAACAAAGCCATTGTAACGTAGTGTGCGGAACTGTCAGCTGACAAACACAAACACAAGTCACGCTGTGTTATCTGTGGTCACGTTCCTCAGGGTTAGTCCAGTAACTAAAGACTTGACATTCTTTTGTCTTTATTTGTCTATTTCAATTAAACACGTAAAGGTTAATAAACAGACGAAGTCCAGAGTTAGTAGGTTGGTATTATAACATTTATTAAAATAATGCCATGGGTTAATAGAAACAGCAAAGAACCAAAGAATTAAAACGCAAGCTATGTAAAATCCCAACTAAAACCCAAAAGTATCTAATGTATTCATTCATTAGCTAACTAAAAAGCCCAAGAAAGACAAGACACCCAATATAATAAAGTACTGCAAAACAATTGGCAATTTTCAGTTATCAAAATTGTGGATTTTGCATTTTGTATCCTTTTCTCAATCAAGAAAAAAATTCTTTTTGAATGTTATATAACATACATATAAAACAAGATAGAAAAATACATTATAAACTTGTAACAATGGCTGTAAATACATTATCTTACATGTTTCTCATAGGCAATAGGTTGGTTATGGTACATACATAGCATGAAACTACTAAGATAATAAAGAACAGACAAAAATACATGTCAGCTGTACGGTAACATACAAGCGACACTCCCATCTACCCACGCTAGAAAATTACATAATACTGTCAAAAAAAGTCTTAAAAACTACATATTTTAATAAGAAATAAATTCAATAAAGAATGATAATACTGAGAACCAAGGCATTCAGAGATTTCAAAAGTCATGCTTATTTTTAGTTGATCCAAAATTGTTTCAACTAAGTTTTCAAAAGTTTGCTCAGAGCCAACATTACTCATAAATGTCACACATCTATTTCATACATTTTCTTTCTTCCCCATAAAAGACCTTTGATAAACATCTAAAATGTCCAGGTATAACACAGCTGAGATGAAACTGGATCAAATACTGGTATTGTTTTTAAACTACTATCACCTCAAGTGTTTGAGTGTCGCAAATTTATTCAACCAACCAACCAAAATCAAAATCAAAATGGCACAGCACATATTGTAAATAAATCAAAACAACTGTCTGTGTAACAGAAAGACGAAGCAGTGGCACATGACACAGAAGCTGGCGGCTAGAAACAATGAGTCTATTGCATAGTAAATGAACTGAACCGGTTCCGAGGGAGAGAGGGTGCGGGTCACCGCGGGCGCTCACTGAGCTGCTGCTGACCTTGACTGTGCAGGTACGTAGGAGGGACGAGCTGAGGAGCTGGGGACCCACTGCCCCTTGATATTTGCCACGCCTGGTACTGAGCAGTTAATTGAGGGTTTAGATAGATGTAGGCTCTGTGCACAAACCACTTCAGCTACAGCACTAACTGAACTTCATGAGAAACTGGAAGCTTCAACTCCGATGTAGCTGGAGTACTTGTACATGTGCACAATGATGCTAGTTTTTCACAATCTTTTAAAGTTAAAAAAAAGTGTGTTGGGGTGTGTGTGGGCAGACTAGGTTAGTAAAACCAGCAGGGGAGAGACTGCCCCGGGACCTGGTGTGGCAGAGAGAAGTCTGATCAAGTCTGGGCCAATTACACACCCTCGTCTCCGAATAAAAAAAGAGCTCGAATTCTGTCTGTAAACTGATGTTCAAACCAGTTTTTATCTCAGAGTCCTTTGGGGTAACATTAAATATTGCAATAATCAAAAGCAATCAATTATGATTTTAAAAGAATGTTTCAAAACTTATGTGTCAGGCATTAGAAAAATTATCCATTTTTTTCACAGTATCAGATTTGGCAAATTTGTATCAAGGTAAAGTGGCAAAAATTATAAAATTCAAACCATCAACTCATCTGTCTCCCTCACATCTTCTTTCACATACTGGGCGACTGAGTAACATGCATTAACTTGTATTCTGAGGGAGGAGCTGATCTTACGAGACACTTGACTAAATGACCATGAAGAAAAATAAGGCACTTCCTTTTCTTTAGACTTATTCCAATACTTAAAAAATAAAAAAGAAAGACAAAAAGGCTCTTTTGGTCTTTTGTTTCTTGACAACCACCAGAAAAAATCATTTAATGAAATAAAGGGTTTCTTTGTTCTTTTTCTTTTTTTTTTTATAACACTTGAAAGTATAAAATGCTACATTTCCAAAAATATATATATTTTTTCTGCACCAGCACCCTTGTATAGTAAAAGTATCTACTTTTTGTTCATTTGTTTCAATGCACTACACTTTATCTACAATTTCATTACATGTATACAGCAAATAGGCAAGCATGGCTTTTACATCCTTAATGATTTTTTTCTATACAGGGAGGTTTAAAAAAAATATTTGAACAGTTTGCCCAGTAATGTGACACATAATGCATGTACCTTGTTCTCGTATGTTTTTAAGGAGCTGTAAAATAAAGGTTCAGTAATTTTAACTCAGATATTTATCTTTTTAAAAATAGTGTTGCAGTTTTGTTCTTTGCATTACTTTTCAAAATTCCTCAAGTTTTTCTCTCATGGCACACTCCCGATACTTCCAATTTGGCAGGCAACATAAAAGGCTGCGATGCTGCCCTTTGAGGGCACTGTAGTGACTAAACAGCATATCAAATTTTGAATACTTGTGAAATCGCTTCACCACTGACATCCCTGACCGAAGGTTCATGCATGATGCATCACCACACAGTACATTCAGAGCTGGACTCGCTATGAGGAAAGGGCTCCTAGGAAGTCCCTCACAGTAACCGCCTGTCACTGAGTAGTTCAGGGCCGTCTGCCTCCCTCCAGAAGGGAGGCCTTCTTACCGTTCGCTTAGGGTGGGGCATGGAAAGATGATCAGTGCTGTGGGATGAATTGGGCCTTATTGCTTTACTACTTCAGTGCAGGTTCTAGAACCATTTTCACCCAAACAGGAAAAAAATAACAACAAAAACCAAAAGCTGAGTTGGAGGACAACAATTTCTTTGTCTTTTGTTTGGTTAGATGGTAAGACGAACGGACAAGTGCCTCAGCTCGCTGCACTGACGACAGGCAAGCAAAGGCGATTACCAGTTAACTGATCAGCAGGCAGGCATGGTCAGGTCATCATTGGGTGAAGAGTTCAGAGGTCAGAAGGTCATAGGTTAGTTGCCGGTGGCGGCTGGGTGGTTAGAAACAAAAAACAAAACAAAAAAAAAAAAGAAAAGAAAAGATAGAGAAGAGATTAGTCTCAGCTAGTGACGGCTTAATGACAACATGAAAAACTAATCACAACTAATAAAAAAAAAAAGCATGTGTAATTCTGACGAACTGATTGACACCATCTACAGAATACAATAAAAATCATGACAATTTCACATCATGATTTGAACAAATGAAGGAGAGCCCTCTCCCACAAAAAAACTGTTAACAGGAAAAAATAGAAATAAAATATAACTAACAACTAATAGTTAGTAGCTCGATGAAGGGAACTGAGAACGACGACAATGGATAGTCCGTATACAGAACTCTGGAACAGTCAGTGCATTATCAGGATCTGACTGCTACTAAGCATTAGTATTCTCTCAGATGCAAGCATTAAAGCAGCTATTAATGATGGAGGTGATTATTAATAACTGGTGATTAACAGAAATGAATCTAAAGAAATTTAAATTTCTATGAACAATTTGGTTCAACATAAACTCTGGGCCAAACAAGGTTTCTTTTGTTCAATAAATGTTTATTGCTTTTTCAATGTTCTATTTACAAACAACATGGAATTTCTTGGCCTCATGATACAAAGCAGTACTAAACTGGAGTGTAGCAGTGTAGGCAACATCATGGGAACCAGGAAAAGGCCAGGCCTTCTGTGCTAGCCAACACTTTCCAGTTGGAAATACTATTTTACACATATAGGACACTTATAAAATGCACTTGCATGTAAACACTGTAAAATCCTGCCATTTAAAATTCTATACTCAAAAAGCTCTAAGTACATCAAAAAATAGAAGAAATTTCTAATTGATACCAATAAGGCATTTTAAAACTACAGCTTTCTTTACTCGATTTCAAAGCTAATTCTCTGCAAATACAATAAAATCTGACATTTCATATACATTCCTGCTTTATATATTTTAAAAGAAGCCACCTGTAAATACTATTTTCTTCTGCAAAATAACAAACAGAACAAAAATTTTTTTTAAAAATTACAGTAAAACATAAAGTAGTTCTCAAGTGGAAAAGTTATCGTCCCCAATGTCCTTGAGTTGTTCCTTCCTTAGTCAACCTCTGTCACACTCTGCTTCACCAAACTTGGTCCACTTAACAGTAGTATGATTTTTAAGACTCATTCAACAGCTTAGTTATTTCTACTATATTCTGAGGTTTGATAGAAATTTCTGTACTGTTGCCACTGTGACTATGGCAGAGGAGATACAAAATACTTCAGTGCAAAGGTAGAGTCTGTGCCACTTCGTAAATCAAAACCCAGTAAGGTCTCGGCTTCACAGAGTTAAATGATCTACGTAATCGACTGGTTTACCCTCATGTAACAAAAGTGCTTTCTATGGTCTATCATTGTAGGATAGTTTATAAATACTACAAAAATAGTGTCTTCAGTGTGACCAAATCTTCCTTGAACTGCTTAAAAATAGAATTTTATTTAAAATAAAAGCGGCTATTTCATAATCAAAGAAGAAAATAAATATTTCACATGTAATCCTACGATTCCATAGGTATTCCAGAAATACAGAATCTTAAAGCATTTTTATATTAACTAAATTTTTGTTTAAAATTGTATTGTTTCTTATAGAAATTGTGTAAATAATGGATTTTGTAAAATTATTATTCAGAAAAACCCTCATGTATTTTGAATGTGGAATCCATAGACAAAGCACAGCACCATTTCTGTAACCAGTACACCTCCAGTACATCCTCTGCCCAGTCCTGGCCTCGACAGTACACACAGGTGTGTCAACTGTGCAAAATCACTTATGGTTCATTTCAACTAAAACATCAGTTGGTCTTTTATAGGCTTCGAATTCAGTTCTGAAATGTGTAGAGGTGGGCTTATTTTTAGTAAAGAACTAGGTATTTGTCAACCATGCCATACTCTAAATGCTCATATAGAATTACATGGTTACAGGTCCAAGGGCTGAATTTCCTTGTATTAAGTGAACACATATTAATCTTTCCTTCAAAAGATTAAAAGAATAATAAAAAAAAACCTCAAAAATAGAGAAAACAGTAGTATCATAAAATAATTTAAATGAAGGACTCCAGACATCTCCCTCAGACCCGAGTGCATACAGTGACAGTACAAGAGTATACAGAGTATTCTGTTATTTAGAAAGAGGGAGAAAAGGTAGCATTTCGGTTTGCTGACATTGCATTTTGAATAAAAACAGTGACAAGACTAATCAAAACACTTATAACTACAAAAGAGCCATGCATGGAATGTGTTCTTGTTTTGAAATACAATAGAATCTTCCTAATATTTTCAACTATCTTAAGGTACTGGAGTATTGAGTAGGCCAATAATTATTATGTTAAAACAAAATTATGAAAATCTCAAAGGGGAATAAAAGGTTAACAAAAGACAAACTACTTTAAAATACTCATAACTATTTCAGGCAATAACTATGGGGAAAAGCTTCAAATTACTCATGGAATTATCTGGATTCTTTAAATCTAAATGGTATTTTTGCTTTTTGAAAATGTCCTCCTTCACTAAGGGACTTGCTCTGGTGCCAGCAGGACACACTTGTACATGCCACACTCACAGGGGTGTGGTCTTCACAGAGGATCACTGAGCTTGGGGGCCTATTTACTTTGTTCATTAAACAATCACTACAAGTAACGTATTAGTTAAAAGTCTTCAAGGCTCTTTAATCATATATGATGCTAAACACAGATGGTCGATATCTTTGGAAAGGTATTTTATTCTGATGAGGACAACAGCTGTGTCCAATACTTATCATCCGTATACAAGATAACCATGCGAAGCAGGCAGGCCTCTCACAAGTTCATCTAAGATGTAGAATTGGAGTGTAATCCATTACTTTTCCCCACCAGTATCCGATAGTTAGAGCAACTTCATCAGTAGGTAATAAATGTGCCATAAATAAAGCTTGTAAAAGTCCTCTTCTACCTTGCTTCAGATTTCTTGCTTTGTGATTTCAAGCTCAGAAAAATAATTCAATGTCAATAAACCGAAAATATCACTCCTCAATAAAAATAAATAATTTATAAAAGGGTCCAAGGGCATATACAGGACACAAATTACAAATGTTGAAAAGGAGAAAAATGAAGACTTATTTTCCAGTCACAGGTTAGTCAAAGAAAGTATTCAAACAGCTGGGTTCATGCCACCACAGAACTTCAAGAGATAGTTTACGTTTAGATAATATATTTTAGCAGCAAATGACAAAAATCAAAGGATCCATTTTGGAATAAAACATAAGAAGAAAAGGGAACTGATTTTCTGACTTATAAAAGATCCAACTGCATCAAAGTTAGCTTCACAGTCCTTACTTTGCTGAGTTCAGCTGAGTACTTGACATGTTTAACCTCATGTTTATACAGTGGCTCAAATATCTTATTAAAAAGGAAAATGGGAAACTAAATCTTCAGTTTTCTCCAAAAGAACACAGGAGGCATATATTCCTTTACTTCTCTCATTAAAGCACCATCCGCTCTGTTCATTTTGCAAAACCAACCCAAAATTTCAAAATAATTAAAAGGTAACTTTTAGCAAAAATTTTTACTGAAAATAGTTAAGATGAAAACAAAATTTAATAGCTCCCCAAATGGACTAATTTATGTTGTAGTAAGAATAAATCATAGTACATACTAATAGAATTCAATAAGTTAAAACATCAAGGGAGAAAAAAAAAACAAAAAACCCAACCCTTCAATCTGTCGATGATCATAAATTAATTTAGAAGAGGAAAGGAAACGCTGTGCAGTAAGCAGGTACACATTTCCCCATCAGGTGTGGTGTTGCAAATGGTATGGACACCCCACGCATTTCTCATAGACAAGAACTGCAGAACTAAACTAACCTCGGTCTGCGGTCACAATCCTTTGGTAAGGATGGACACGCATATCGTGCCTTCGAACTTTAGTAGCCACCGCACCTAGTTAAATTGCAATCACCAAGACAAAGTTAGAAAACATTCACAAGGGAAAAGAAAACAAACATTAACAGCAGGTTTATCAAAATGGATTTCAAATGTTCATTTACTACAAAAATTTCGTTTTAAGAAACACGTTAAGGCACAGTAGTTTTAAAATTAACCATAATATGTTGCGTATATATGCGCCTATTAATATTGCATTCACTTCAAACATCTTGGCCTTAACCTATGTCATCCATTCATTTACAATCCCAAGTCACAGTACTTCATGAACTCCACTAGTTCCAACCTTGAAGCTTTACTAGTCACATATTCACTGAAGTGCCTTTCTTGCAGCAGGATGAAAAATAATGCCATGTTTAATACTGACAATTACTTGCTAACCTTAAGACCGCTTCCAGAGTTTATCACTTAAAAAGGTTTATAAGCAATTCTTAAAGCCTACAGATTGTGGTTTTAAACTTTGAGTCAATAAGTATGAACTGCAATGAATTAGGTGATTAGTAAAGCAAACAGTATAGTACACTTAGCAGTCAGTATACTACTATACACTCCTTTATAAATTACCGTTATTTTGTAAGATTATAGACTAAACCAAATTAATAGCATACGTTTGCTTTCTATCAGTGTGCAAAAGTGCAAGTAAGTCACTGACTGCTAGGCTAAGCTTCCCTCCCCCCGGCTGCTGAGACTAAGCATTTGTTAAATTCAGATCTGATGAGGGTTCAGTTAAGACCGTTCTTGAATTCTTAGCCTTTCGTTGGGAAAGCCATACCTGAAGATAAAAGGAAGGGAATTAAAAATTAGTCACCAATGAAGATTTGATGCTATTACCAATCTCCTCACTACCACCAACACACATGTCTGCATCTGTTTTGAAGGGCACTGCTTATTTTAAAATAGTATGATGTGAGACTTGATATAGAGCATGCATGTTATCTGTGTGCAAATTTACTATAACAGCAATTTGAAGTAATTTTCTCAATTCTCCAATGGTCAATCATTATCATGTTTTACTGCTTAGGTGGCAAAGCGAGAAATAAAATCGATCATAATGGATTTTTCTCATTTAGTACTCATTATTATTCATCTTATGATTGCCAATTAGGTATCGGTATGTTCTGCTTTTGTCAGTCTAAGAATTAAGTATTACAAATAAAAATTTCCCAGCACAACCAAAAATACATTGCTTTACAATGAGAAACACTCTGCAGTGCCCCTTGTTGTTTCTAAGCAGTAAACTGGTCCATCATCCCTTGACATTTCAGGTAAGTGATCACTACGAGTCTAATGCCTCGAGGCAAGCTCAGTGAGACCCTGCTCGGAGCTGGAGCAGCAGCTGGTGGCTGAGAGCGCCAGCCTTGCAGGAAGCAACAGTCCAACTCCTCCAACAGACGCTGTGCGTGCAGCAGAGAGGAGCTCTGGGGAAGGAGCAGGCATGGGGCCGCAGGACAGAGCGTTAACAGAACAGAAGACGTAAACAGGTTATATGTTACATGTTATTTTAAAAATGCTTCAAGAAATGTGCAACAGAAACAAGCCTTTCATAAACAGTTCTATGGTATAATTCTGACCTGGAATACTTTATACAATGTTTAGAGATAACCGAAGACATGTACAATAAAATGTATCTGCTCATGAAACAGAAGGCACTTGAGTGCATGCACACACACAGATAACATACAATGTTGTGGCTTTAATAGAACAATGAATTTTCAAGTTTAAATCTTTGTCCGGGTTCATTAAAGGCTTTCAAATTTTGTGAGTCAATATGAATGCTGGAAAAAAACACCTTAAAAGATCAAAGTCCTACAAGTCAAGAGCATGCAAGCAGCACCAAGGTCATACACCATTCAAGGAAAGAGGATTCAGATTCTGTCTGTAACACAAAGGGCAGCATGGAAGCAGCCTGCTCCACAGTGACTGGTCGTGTTACAACAGCTGCTGCGCTCTAGTCCTTCGTCCGCAAGTCAATGGGCTGAAATATCAGGCATGACTGGCATTTCAATCCACTCTATAAAGAAAAGGCGTCAGTAATGTCTTCCAACCACCACTTTTGTTCATGTAAAACGGAGCGTTTATAGTATGACCTTAATTTTTGCCTCAAGAGGGATTCTACTGCAGTGATTTGGTATTTACTTATCAATTCCAACCGTGCTATGAAATGAGGAGTTCTCTTATGTTTAACATTAACCTGGACTTCAAAAGAGAAGAACTACAAAAACCTGAATGTAGCTATTCACTGGGACCCTTTCATATTTTAAGTTATCACAAATATTAGAAAATACATACAATTATAGCAGTTTTTAAAATCTCAAAATATTTCCACATGGGTAATTAAAATTTAGCTCACAATTAAAGAAATCTCTGAGACGAAAAGAATCTGACTTTGTGGCAAAACTGAAGGAGAGACTATGCCAGTGGCTAGGGTCAGTGATGTCAAATGTGAAAAGTATTTCCTGTTTGTAATGTTCAAATGTACCCATCCAGAGCGAATCTGAGATACCAAAGCAAATCTGAACAAATCTAAGATGCAATTATTTAAAAGGAGAACCCTTATGGGGGGCTGAAACAAAATTTAGTCTTCAGTCTTTCCTAATGGAAACTTGTCTCTCTAAAACTGATATAATAATTTCAAAGTCTGGGGCAGAAAACATTTTGAAGAAACATGTTAACCACACAGAGAAAACAACTTACCTAATACGCCGCTAGGTTCAATAGGGTACTCAAGGATTGACGTAGCTGGTGCCAACGTGTAGGGGTATTCGTAGGGTGTGTAGATTAAACCAGCTTCAGGCCCCGGAGGAACTATTGCAGCAGTGGGGTGAGGAGTTCCATTTGGCATGACCGCGGTCTGTATTTGTCTGATCAAAGGCATTATGGTAGGGCCAGCTGGCGTCGGGGTGCGCAGGGCAGCTGGTGGGAGAACAGGCGCAGGCCCAGTAATAATCCTTGGAGCAGCCTGGGCTGTTGCTGCAAGAGAAAAGGCAAGGGCTGCTACAGTAAGCAAAGAAATTTAGAAGGAAGTACAGAGAAAGCAGTGTAAATACAGGAAATGAGAGGGAGTAGGAAAAAGAAAGAAAAAAGCAGGAAAGAAGAAAAATAAAAGGAAATCATTAGTACATGCGCTGGTCACACACAACGCCCAAGCACACCAATCAACTGCAAACGGCTTTCCCTTTCCCAATGTGATTAAGAACAAATGTGCAAAAACTAAAAGCCACTGTTAAAAAAGAGAGAGAGACCATTAAAATAGGTTATATTTAGTGCATGTATGTGATATGTCTATGTTTTTAAGATCTCATGAGGCTAAAAAGGTGCATGCAGAAGCACAAAAGTTGCATTAAAAAATGTTGAAAAAAAAATTTTGTAATTGGAGTCCCCAGAAACAGTTTTGCTATAATTTCTAATAGAGTAGCTTCAGTTTCAAATTAAAGAATCGTTTTTATTGTATTAAGTAAGCCAACTAACCACGACTTATATATCAAGTTCCTGCATATGTAGGAATTAACTTCTCAGAGAAAAACAACACAGGGTGGGGCACAAGTAGGTTTATAGTTGTTCGTATGGGAAATAATACAATAATAAATAATAGTACAAGAATAAGCTATTTCGCGTATACCATTGTAAACCTACTTGTGCTCACCTTGCATAGTGAACGTTCCATTCCTAACAGACCCATTCTTGGAAGTAAATGGAAGCCAACTATTGGTAAAGCAAATACTTCTAAACCCAACAGGTTGTTTATATTTAAAAAAATTAGTAATATTAGTAATTTATCCTTAGATTTTCTCAAAAATAAAAATTTTACAGGATTTCATTTTAAATATAAAAAAGCAATCCTCAACGCATTTATGAGAGCATGCACAAATACAACGAAAGGGGGAAATGGGGCTAAAACAGTTATCACTACTGCCCTCCGTGAACGCAAAGCATTGCCTAAACCACTGGGGGACATGCCGAAGGGACAGAGTGAGACAGGAGGGTCGCTGCACGCACACACTCCCAACTGACTCTCAAAAAGCTTTGCATTTTTTTGTCCTTTTCATAAATGTAACAAAATAAGCTAGAAGCCTTAAATCTGTAGTTAACAACACAGAAAATTTCATTACACTCTTATATTTAGAAGTTGAAATTTCATTAAAAGAATAAAGTTCATAAACCTTTTAGAACTTAAAAGACATGCTGGAACAAAATAAAACCAAGGAGTGTGTCCATAATTCATTAAGCAGTAAAGTGGGGCTGTGGGGTCCATATCCAGTTACAATCATTTCAACTCCTCACTTTGTTTGAACTGTTCATGTTACGCCACCAAAGGAGAAAGCTTTGTGGACAAACAGCCGAGATGCTGTCGGCCTGGCCCCGGTCGCGTTCTTACGTGATTTAATGTTGGCATCTCTGTAGGTGCCATTCAGAATCGCAAGCTCCATCAGCTGCATCTTCTTCAGGCTGTCTTCTCCCTCTGCCTATATATGGAAACAGAGCAAGAGCACTTAAGGTGGTCCACATACATCAGAGCCACATCCACGCTCCAGCCTTAAAAGAGACATCGTGACTCTAGCCACCTGCTTCAATTAGGAAGATCTGGGAACCACTGGTGCTGACACCGAAGACTGCTCTCTCACTGAGGGCACGTGGATACATGGGATACTCAGCTGACACTGGCTGCATTTCTACTCGGAATTTTTAAATATAAGTTGCACTGATTTATTAAAGTTCTCCTAAAAGGCTTTTTAAAATGGAATAAAGGAAAATGTTAGATGAGAGTAAATATAGTATGTTCTCTTTAGCATCTATTATTTTGTTAAAGATTTCAAAGCTCAAATGTATTCATTAAGACCAGAAACAGCCCTGATTGGTGTGCTCAGTGGTTACAGCATCAGCCCACACACCAAAGGGTTGAGTGCTCAATTCCCAGTCTAGGGCATGTTACCTGGGTTGCAAAAGTTTGATCTCTAGCCCAGGTCGAAGCGTCTCACAATGATGCTTCTGTTTCTCTCTCTCCCCTCCCTCCCTTCCACTCTCTCTAAAAATCAATGGAAAAAAATATCCTTGGGTGAGGATTGACAACAACAACAAAAAGACAAAACAAAACAAAAATAGGGATTTTAAACATGTAAGACTTGATTGTGGCATTCAGATAAGAGAATTGTCTGTTTAAGTCTCAAAAAGAAAAATTTAATAGTCATAAGAACTTCTAAAAATTTCTAAAAATTATATGTATATGTGTGTGTGTGTGTGTGTGTGTATGTTGTATATATACATGGCCAACATCCCTCTCTCCCCTAAATTTAGCAGTTAGCAAGTGCTATCAACTCTAAAGCAAATCTACCTTTAGAGTTACCATTTGATGTCCAAACCATTAAACATGTGAAAGCCAGCAGAGGTACTATTAATATCAGGTATAACCCAGGACCATCTGATTATCAAAACGGTTAGCCATCCTATTTACCTTGGACTCACCCCATGCCTCCCTGTTACTGATGTCACCCTTGTTCTAGTCATTATTGGGGTCTTATCAAAACTACTACAAAATTATGTTAATGATGTCTGTTCACCATCAATCTACACACAATGGCCAGATTAATTGCCCCAAATGCAACTTTCATCTTAATGCTTAACAATTTTATGTCTCAAAACCTTTCAGGGTTTCTTACTATCTACAAGTATGAACCATTTAAGCTACCTATGATCTGGCCCCAAACTATGTTCTCAAGTTAAACTCACTAATCTTACTATTTTAAAAACACATCTTGTTATAAATCAAACCAAATCACTACTCTACTCATCTGTATGCATGTGCCTCCATCTTGAATGTTCCTCTGCACTCTATCCACCACTGTCCAAACCCTACTGACCCCGGCAAACTGCCACACAAATGCTACCTTCTCCAAGCCGTCCCCCCATTACATGCTCCTGCCCTGAATTATTGTGTGTTGTGCGTCATCATCAACAAAGAAGCCCCTGGAGAATAGACTACTACTCACTCACCATCGCCCATCTACCCACTCACTCCCAAATGCCAGGTGATTTGCTGGAGCTTTCTATTTTAAATGATTGGTATGAGAAATCTTTAATTTTGTTCCTTAATCTCAAGCGTGGAAATATTACAGAATAAACTTTATCACAGCAAAATAAAGAAGTAGATGAAGTCCACCTACTAAGTCCACCCTGACAGTGGAGGTAAGAAGGGAACTCCGCTGTTCATAGTCTCTACGCATTATCTAATGCTCAAGGTTAATATTTAAAAGCATCCGATTGTGCACTGTTCTGACAGGAGTGGTACTGGTAGGACAGCCTCCTTTACTATAGCAATTGTAAATGATACAAACACGCTGCCCCAGGCACTACAGCAGAAAATGGGGTGCTGTAATTTTTAGTAAAGAGAACTAGTCTATAATTTGTAGTAAACAAAACACAAAGAGATTAAAGGAAAAGATGAGTATAAACATCCTAAGATGTTTAATGTGCCGCGGCCACCTTTGCAAAAACCCACTTAGCAGAAAACAGAGAAGACCTTGCATGCGTGTGAAGTTACTATTCCTTGATTCCTATGAACTTGTACAGATGGAAGGAAAAAAAGCACCATGATTTCTTTGAAAGTGCAGCAATTAATTGTTAAAGATAAAAAGAAGTGAGCACTATTACTGGAAGGGAAGAACTGGAAACCTATTACAATAAAACTCCTTATACTTGCTCATTGTAATACCAAAAATTAAAGCTTATCATGTAATTCAAATTGAAATCTCTCTACATAATAGAGTGATTACCAGTAAAAGTATATACATTATACTTTATATAAGTCAGAAGAAAAGCAATAGCCATACTAAGGTCACCTTCCACAGTGAGAAAGCAGTACCTGTTTGAAAATGTCAGCAAATTAAGAACTAAAGGTGGAATAAGTGATGATGGGACATCATGCCTCACAGAACCGCGTAGAGAAGAGGTGCCCGAACACGTGTTTTCCTCGGCTTCTTTTGGATCACCAAGTTCCTGCGCTCATTAGCGGGACGCAGTGTCCAACAAGGGAGAAAGGCGAAGACAAAATGATGGAAGACACGTGTGCCCACCAGGGGTGTGCAACGCATGTGCGCCTTTTGCAGGATCAGGGCACTAAGATGTAGTGACGTCAGCAGAGACCCTCTGAGCGGAGAACGGAAACCGGAGCAGCACAGCTTTCACCAGGAGGTGCCAAGGGGTGTGCCCAATGACGTCACTAGAGGCCACTGAGACGTAGAGATTACGAACTACGGTGTGTTCACTGGATTGTATCACACGATGGCAGGCTACATTGCACCTCCTAGCAGACATAGAATTTAGTTGGCAAAGCTCAAACCTGACCCTGGTGGCTCACTCCAGAATGAGCTTCTCTCTGGTGCCCCACCACTCCCACCACTGTGTACTCAGAGCATAACGCTGTGTCTCATTACAGACTTCCTTTCATACTCAAGGGATTATTTTAACCCTCTTGTCCTGGTTTTCTCAATGAAACTTAGAGTATACACCTCCCTGAACACTGTGGAAGGTGTATGCCACCTCTTTTTCAAATATAATCTCAGGCAAGAAAGTTGCCTGCGCCACTGTGTTAACAAAGCACTTGAGTACTTTTCATTACGCTTAAGCTATCCAAGGAGAGCCAGGAAGCCAGGCTTGGTTTAGCCGCACTTGATTCATGTGCCTGGTGGGACAGCGTAGGCCAACACAAGAATATCACACTACTCAGAACAGTGTGCAATTTAAATCTTATGAATTGCTTATTTCTGGGAATTTCCATTTAATATTTCCAGATCAGGATCGACCGAAACTGTGCATAAGTGGGGACAACTGTATTTGAAAAGGTAAAATCAAGACAGTACAGGGACAACATATGTAACTGATATCCTAAACTGAGAGAATTTCAGGGAGACAGAGTTAACAGTCCCCTACTGCTTAACATTAACCTTCTGCCTTTATAAACATTGCTGTTACAAATTGCTTTTCTGATTGAGGATTACTTCTTTTGATATCAAGAAGAGTAACTGATTTATTCATACTCTACTTTATTCCAGAAGATGCACACACTATTAAACTGTGTTCTGAACAGGCTTTTCCAATGCACATGGCTACACAAAGGTGCAGGTATTAACTTTATAGACCCTTCAATAACTTTATTTTTAAAAATCTAATCTAAGCAAAGTAATTGCTAACTGAATGAGAAAATGCCACTGAGTTCCTTGAATGAAGGCTAAAACGGGACCTTTCTCAGGCCTTTGTAAGAGCTGTGATTTCCCCACTTTGTCTTCTTTATGAAAACTGTCTGCTAACATTGCATTAAAATATGCTAGTTCAGTTCACTCAAGAGGCTATGCACATGGTATAATTGGTCACTTTGGGACTGGTGGACTCATCTGACCAGCTAGCCTAGTAAGCCCACAGAAAAGATTAGAGAGTACTAATATCGCTTGTGTTTGGACTCAGCTTTAAGCGCTGTTTTTCTGTGTGTGTGTGTGTGTGTGTGTGTGTGTGTATATATATATATATATATTATATATAAATACATATATATGTAGGTGTAATATGTGTATGAATACATATGTATGTACTATACATAGTTTTTAAACATTACCTGCACTTGTATAATTTTTCTTTTTATCATGGAAAACATCATACATATAAAAATTAGTATACTCTTAAATATGTTATATTTCCAGTGACAGACTTTTATACTGAAAATACTTCCAATCTATAACATACACAATGGCTAGCTACTATACTGGTGGTTAAATCTGACTGATCTTCCAGAGGCAAGCAGCTTTTTAATTAAGGTGGTTGGTGCTTTAAATATTTGGTATGAACATTTAAGAAACAATTAGCTAATGGTGAGAACAAAGATTATAGCTCTGGTTCCAGTGTTATCTGGATCTCTCCTGTTATATATTGGTTTTGTAGTATTAGATTTAGAGCGCTTTCAAAAATCTTTGTTTACTGAACTCTAATTTCCCATGAAAACACTTCCAGGACCAAAGTTCTGATTGCATATTAGAAGGAGCACATCTCTCCATTGGGGGAGAAGAAATCATATAAAACTACACTATTAGGTTCCTGGTAACACAATTAATTACTGGTCAATAAATTTAAATAGGTGCTTTAAATAACACAGTACTGTGTTGGATTAAAAAAAGAATAGAGCCCTAACTGGTTTGGCTCAGTGGATAGAGCATCAGCCTGTGGATTCAAGGGTCCCAGGTTTGATTCGGGTCAAGGGCATGTACCTTGGTTGCGGGCACATCCCCAGTAGAGAGTGTGCAGGAGGCAGCTGATTGATGTTTCCCTCTCATCGATGTTTCTAACTCTCTATCCCTCTCCCTTCCTCTCTGTAAAAAATCAATAAAATATATTAAAAAAAAAATAACAGAACTCTTCCTTTAAGACAGTGGTTCTCAACCTTCCTAATGCTGCGACCCTTTAATACAGTTCCTCATGTTGT